GGCACTGCCAGTGCCTTAAAAGGACGTCACACTCAACTGTCAGTGCCTTAAAAAGGGCGTCATACGTCCACGCAAATCTAAAAGTCCCTAGTTTGGTCTAGTCGGAGTTCGGTCCCGTGCCTCATAACCGACCCCGGGCTCTATGGATAAAGTATATCCGCTATCAAAGCTTTTGCCCCCGAGGCACTCAAGTAATCTTCTAGTTCTGAGCAAGGGCCACCGGTCCTGTTCTTCCAGGCCATGAGGATTTCCATCAAGGCCTTCCGGTAGTCCTTGGAGTGTTTCATCAGAATGTTGTTGGCTTCGTTCGCCCCGATGCCTAGTTTTAAGCTGAAGGATTCGAAGTTTGCATTTGGAAATTCCCGCGAGACCTTGTCCAGTTGCTCCTGGGAGACGTTCTGGTTGATTCTTGTTCCTCTGCCCCGATTATTTGAAGAAAGGAGAAAAGGATTCTAGTTTATATGGAGAGGGCATAAAGACAATAAGCGAATAAGGCAGTGAGGGAAAAGCGAATTATTAAGGATAGAGAAAGCACTATTCACCATTTAACATTTTTAAATAAATACGTAACTAAATTTGGTAAATGGAAACTCGTTTACTGTTTCTAGAAATGTTTTCATGATTTTAAAACACTTTTTAAATAGGGCCGGGGAGTCAAACCAATGAAGGTATTTATATAAATTGATGAAACGGTATGAATGGAAAAACAAAACAAAACAAACTAAACGAAGAAAAACATATTTTTGTCTGAATCGTAAAAGTAGCTATAGCTATTCCTTTCGGAAATAAGGAGAAGCTTAGGTGTATTCATAATACTGATTGAGTACCTTGTTCATACATACCTTATTCCAGGTTCTACCTGGATCGCAGCGCTGATAACCTCCCCCGAAAAATGTGCCGACTCATCTGCTCAAAATTAAAAAGATGAGAATAATAACTCTTCAAGGTACAACAAAATACACATATTTCATCCTAGCGCATATATTCTGGGTATTCCTAAATAGGCCAATAAGGATGTGAAGTTCAAATAGACCATAGGCAGTTCGTACTAAAGAACATAGTTTATGAGCACAAATATTCACATATCTTACACGTGGTGAAGTCCTAGTTCATGCTTTAGAGTAATAAATGTCAAAGTCATGAATGTGCTTGATCAGTAATCAATAATCATCAATCATTGAATCATCAATAATGAACACCTTTTGCAGGTGAAAAATACATTTCTGTTAAAAATGTATTACAAGCGAGTACCGTATAATCTCTTTCATTATCATGTACTACTTTCTGTAGCCCCCCCCCCCCTCCCTCATCGACCCCATCCTGTGGTACTAACCTGCTAGTGCCGAGACGTTTTTAGTGTTTGATGTCTCTTTTACGTCCAGCCTTACTCTGAGTTTGACTCCAACTTCATCCTCAAGTTCTGGAGTAACAAGGAGTTTTGTCAAGCCTCGTGAAGTGTCAAGTTGCTCCTGTGAGACGCTTTCGTTCATTCTTGTTCCTCTGCCCGTGTTATTTGAAGTAAAGAAAAAAAGGATACTAGTTTGAATGGAGGAGGACGGACAGACTGGCAAATAAAGCAATGAAAAGGATGCGATTTATTATGGATAGAGAAATCACTCTTTTACCATTTAAACTTTCTATTTGAATACGTAACCAAATTTGTACATGGAAACTAGTGTACTGGTTTTACGAATTGTTTCCATGATTTTTTAGTCGAGCACTTTCATGTCAAATTGGGGAAATGGTATGAAAGGAAAAACAAAACTAAACTAAACCCAAACAAAACAAACAACATAAACAAAGAAAAACACATCTTTGTCTGATTCGTAAAAGTAGCTAAAACTACTCCATTTGGTAGCAACTTTGATTTCTAAGGAGATGTGTAGTTGAATTCATAATCAAATTGCTCCGATTGTCTCATTTTCGCTCGCTGGAACATTGCCAGCACAAACCACTGACCTCTACCTCCTGGACGGATCATCGCTTGCAACCTATTTTGATCAAATTACGGTGGGTGAACTTTCAAAAGTCAATGGGACATGAGGGTTCCAATGAAAGAGCTAGTGATAACGTAATTCGGGGTGGATGTGCTTTTCGTTTAAACAAAAAATGAATTTTTAACGACTTTTTTGTACAATTCCATAGGCTAACATGTATGGCTCCTGACTCTGACGATAGGAGGCGTTGTGAAATGTGACTAAACGTAGCTATATGACTTATTTAGTACCTTCTACGTACCTTTTAACAGGTTCTGCCTGGTTCGTAGCCCTGTTAGGAATTAGGTGATCGTCGGCAACGAGCTTCAAATTGGATTTCGTCAAGGCCTCACTAAGATCCTTCACTTTTTTCGCGCTGGGAGTCTTGTTCCTCCATGCAAATAGCATATTCTTGGTGCCTTTGGAAGACAATGCCATCAGCCCGATTTGTAGCAAGAAACATTTCCATCTTGGGTCGTGGGAAACCTAGATGAAGTCCAAGAGTCATGAGATTCTCGTTGTCTCCCAGAGCCTCCCCTATCTCGTTCAATTTCAGGTCCGTCAAAGACAGCATCCCGTCTGGTTTAATGGTAATAATATTCGAAGGTTAGAAATTACCAAAGTTCGCTATTTGCTACTATCTATATAAATCAACATACCTGAACCTGCAATGCTACTCTCTGCCATGTCTCAGAAGTTATGATTATGATATGTATGCTCTTGTCTTTGCCAGACAGAAATCGTGAAAGACGAAACGTTATATTCTATTCACAGTAGTATGGCAATGGCTTCTCCATGAGGAAAGTAAATAGCAATTAAAAGAGATGATCAAAGTCCCATTCAAAACGGGCGAAGCTACAGTGATCTGCCAACGGAGATGACGGCGGGAGGGGGGGGGGGTTACTTCATTTTGGGAGGGTTTAGGGGCAGGGGTATGAGCAGTGGCATAGCCTGATTAACAAGATTAAGGGGGCGCTGGAACGATGGGGGGGGGGTGCACTGGTCTTACTCGGAAAATTTAATCCGAGTTTATAAGGGCAAATAATAATAGATGAAGGTACCCGGGTGATATACGCATCATTATCGACTTATGTACGGGATACGCATTTAGTAAGGATTGATTGGGGATTGATAAAGCTTTAGCACTTAAGATTTCTAGCCTTGCCAGCTTAAACAAATAACAATGAAACATTCGTTAAATAAACACTTTTTTCTTGCCCTTTCTCTCCTTTTCCCTTCCCTTCCTTCTCTTTCTGTTTTAGGTTTGTTGGGGGGGGGGGGCAAGGGCCTTTCGCCCCCTGCCCCTGTAGTAAATAGTAGTGCCTGATAATGTATACAATCGCTGTTTACTACACATATGGGACATGAGAAGCAGTTGAATATTGAACAGAAACAAGCGGGGCAAATCGACTGGCGGTCATCATCACATTCACCGCCATTAGGAATAACTATAGATCATGAGGTGACAAATTTCACTGTGTGATTAATTGGATGTATAAGAACAATAATTGACCCATCAATATGCCATAGCTCATTACTGTGTGTCTGGAGTGTGTCGGGAATGTGAAAAGAAAACAAAAGTAACCCTTCTTTCAAATTCAGCCTACATAGATTCAGTTTCTATTGATGTAAGATAGCCTAGCAAAATATACACAAGTATTTCCTTGAGAAATATATGCATGAAACTACGAGGGCAAAAACTATATCAGTAGTATATACTGTATGGAAAGCAAATATACAAAATGTATTTGTAAAGTGTATCCGGTACTAGAAGTTCCTAGTTGACGAAATTCATATTTCAAAGAACCCATAGTGGCCGAATTATGATTAAGAAACAATGACATTTACTGTAAAAAGGTAAAAGATGAATGGTTTAGATAAGTAGTACGTGTAATTATATTATTTGTTCTCAATTCTCATACAATGATATGGTTTGATAAGTATTTTGGTCTTGATATGTATATATTCATTTTCTATCATGAATATCTGTGATCTGTGATATTCAAGATACAAGAAATGTTTGAATGCCGCTACAGAATTGCAAATCATTCTATCTTATGTTAACTCAGTTGTATAAATAGTGGTGCCTGATAATATATACAATCGCTGACTTTTGTTTTCTAATGTTTTTAATGTTTATACAATTTATTATATTTATTGTGTTTATTTTTCAGCATGCATTTTTTAAAACTCCTTTTTATTGCATATATCTGGAGAGTCACAAACAAATACTTTGTCTGTTCGGTTATACCATCAAATTGGGTTACTGATTGAGCTACCCCCATGCCTTACATACTCCGTGCACTCTAGGTAAATGGCTACAGCCATAGAGACCTAAAGTTTCCATATCCTCCTATTTATTTATTTTCATTTGAGTGTGTGTGTGTGAGTTATTCTGTTTATCTGTTGGGTTGTTGATCTTGTAGAAACCGTAGGATTAGCAATCAGGCTAAGTATGATAGGTGCATGAACAGATTGACACAGCAAGAAGCTAGGGATAGATCGTTCAATAAAAGAATTTGTATAAATATGATTGACTTCAGTTCATTACCGCAGTTACTCAACTGGGTCCAATTCGCTTTTTTTCAACATACATTTTCAATTGTGATAAATTGCATGTAAATGAGGATTTTTTTAATGTTTATCGTAGAATTCAGTCTCTTTTATGCCACATAATAATCTCACTGTGCATTATTGTATTAATCATGGAATAGATATATTAAAGACTTTCAGATGATCGAACTGTTAAAGGGTTTAACATGGAGCTAATCAAAACATGAATTTTGGCGTCAATTTGGGTCTTTTGTTATGTGCAAAATTATACTTGAGACGAAGAAACGGCCATGAATAAAGGCAAACAAAGCAAGTTAAGTTTCTGTGCAATGGGTCTGTTTATTTCCTTCAAATTAGACATACAGCTGAATAATTGCATACAAGTTCGATACATATGATAACTTAGCGTACAAAGTAAACAATATTGATTAAAGCTCGTGGAAGATTCCTGGCATAATTTACATTTACCACCGGTAGGGGGTGGGGTGGGTCAATAACAGTTTTAGAAGTGTTTTGTGTTTTCTAGATGTCATCAACAGAATTGTTCGACTATTATGAAAAAGTGTCTTGTTTTTATTTATTTCGAGTTCTTTTTTTCATTTATTTTTCTCGACAAATTTGTCGTATTAAAAAAGCTGAGCAGGCTATCCAGCCATTCACTATATTCTCAATTTTATATGAACATGTACTTTTGTTATATTGTTGATATTGTTTTTCATATTGTGATCTGGAAAATAACTACCATACAATACCAGTACTTAGTAACAAGTAACTTATACACAAACAAAATGAGTTGTGGTTTCATTTTCCTCAACAATCACAAGCCACCTAGCTATGATGATTGGTCATCAAATGTATTTTAGATTTACATATTTATTGATTTATTTTTATGTAAAAAAAAACATATATATACAAATTACCATTGGGGACAAAGAATTTGCATGTTTGATAGCTTCCAGATTTGGGAAACCTTCAGCGAAAATGGTGAACATTCTGAGCCTAACTCGACAATTAGAATGTAACTAAGATTTTGTAATATTTCCAACATACAGGCCTAGCCAAACAAATCAATTTATTAAACCCTTTTATGACTTCCATACCAAAAGTTGTCCAAGACATGAAATATCTTTCTATTTAAAAGATGGCATTATTTTCATCGATTCTTCTCAAATGGCATAATGAAATTGTGACATCAGGAGCAATGGAAACCGCCATTTAAAAGATTTGGGAAACCTCTTTAAAGGTATTCGTCAGTTAAAGCTTATCTGCACTAGTTTGGCCAGGAGGGATTAGAACATACAGCGAGGGCACTGACAGCTCTCAAATAACATAATAAATAGAGGATCATGGGGGACCAACAGGCACCGATTGGGGAAGTTTTCTATATAGAGGGAGCAATTAGCTACAATTCGTACAGAGGGCCTCCAAAATAATGAAATCTTCTATGCCTTTCAGTGATACCAGTATATTTAATTGACATGAAACTTCGGTAGCTTCGAACAAAAATTAAAAAAAAAAGCCAAAGTTATAAGAAATCAACAGTTTACATTCCGGTGACATCGACTTATCCTCTAAGAATATCCCAGGAAAATCACTTCAGGTGTTTCTCAGCAACGTACCCCAACTTGGCAGCCACCAAGGCATCCCAGAGCTTCTTCGCCTGGTCAGCGCCGGGAGTGTTGTTCCTCCATGCAGATAGCATATTCTTGGTGCCTTTGGAAGACACAATGCCATCAACTCGATTTGTAGCAAGAAACATGTCCACCTCAGATTCGATGAAACCAAGATGTAATCCCAGAGCCGCAAGTTTCACGTGGTTACCCAGAGCGTCCGCTATCTCGATCAATTCCAGGTCCGTCAAAGGTGTCATCCTGCCTGGTTTGATAATAACAGCAATAATATAAATGATAATGATAATCATAATCATAATAATACTAATACATGTTGCAGTAATGATAATCACAAATTAGTAATACTATTAATGACAATAGTGGGTTCTTATTATATAGGTTAGGTTTGTCCGACTTGACTCCCCTGACGCTACACATTTATTACTCTGGCTTTAACATGACTGCTATTACGCCGCCGTAGAATTTCGAGGATTCAATTCCTGCCAAGTACCCATTTAACTCACTTTGGTCGAGTATGGCAAATGTTCATTAATGTATTGCCAAAGAAAATTAGTGCCGCGGCGTGACTCGAACCCAAAACCATAAGTGATCAGCAGTCCACTTGAAGAAATGTCCTATATTCAGCGAAATAAATATACAAATGTTCGAAGGTTAGAAATTACCAATTTTCGCTATTTGCTATATTATCAATATATAAATCAACATATCTGAACCTGCGGTACTACTGTCTGCCATGTCTTAGAAGTTTTGCTTATGATAGGTGTGTTCTTGTCTTTGACAGACTAAAATCGTGACAGACGAAAAGTTATATTGTATACACAGTTTTTAACAGTATACAAAGCGATACGGCAATGATTCTCGAGTCGATAACAGAAAGCGAATGACAAATAAAAAGAAAACAAAGTCACATTCACCCACGCGAAGGCTTAGCAATCTGCCAACGAGAACGGTGGGGGCGTTGTTACATTTTGTGACGGTTAACCCTATTTTAACTGGGCTATTTCAGACCAGATTTTTATTGGGGGGGGGGGGGGCAATTTGACGCCCCTAAGATTTCGGCCGTTTCACAGCCGATCGCCGCGAAAATTTGCATGCATATCAAGTGAAGTGTATAGAATACTATAGTAATTTCAATTTTTTGAAAAATTTACTCATTTGCATATTTATGGTAATTTATGCAAATAAGATCATAACATTTTCATTTTTACCCATATATCATATATAATTCATATTTAAGCATTCTTTTTCACTACATAAATTCGTTAGACCATTTGGAATAAGAATACGACAACAAAAAATGGAAGAGCCAGGTTATACCTTATGTTATCTCTTGCTTTGATAATTTCTAAGTTATGTATTTTATTGTTTTTGTTGTTTTATTTCATTTATAACTAAAATTTTAACTATTTTGACCCCAAAATAAACACCTAAACTTTAAACAAGACCAATTAACCAATGTTTTATCTCTTCTTAGGAAAAATGACATTTCCATATGTTTTGTACACAAATCACAACAAATGAGCGATTTTCGGGCTGACATGCAAACATAAAAGGTTACGTGACTTTGTAACTATACGTCCGATTTTCAAAAAAAAAATCTTTTAAAAGATGCGTAAGACTCGAAAGAAAAAAGTCACGAAAGGAAAACTGAATATCTGACGCGGCTCCGGACTAGTCATTAAACTACTACAGGGGGGTCAAATTGCCCCCCCCCCCTCCCAGTTAACATAGGGTTTAGAGCCTGGGGATATGAGCAGTGGCGCAGCCCGAGTTCATAGATTTATGGGAACTGAAACAATGGGGGGGGGGGGGGTATCTGGGGATCGATGTCCAGGCTGTAGCCTGTCCAGATACGGTATGAAATTTGTTATCTTGGTTATGTTTTAGCTGTAGGTCCTGATGCTAATCTCAAACTACATGTTAATTTCAGTTTGTAGGCCACTTAAAAGGATTGGGTAACTTTGTCTCAGATTCTCAAAATAAATCCTGGATTTAGCTCATGTTGCAATGATAATTATAACCTTTTAGTCAGTAAGGAACCCCATGAATTTTACAAGCCGATCGCCTGTCTGATTTTCAAGATACGAAATCGAAATTCAAAAAATAGTTTTCCTCACGGTTTTTATTACACTACAGTCTATTGGGGAAAATGAGTATGGTAATACCGGTCACTCAAAGATTTTTTTTTTTTTTTCATTTTGAGGTACTTCATGATCATTTTAACAATATACTAAACCTCACCCAAGAAATAACTTTATTTATTATGAGAGATTTAGTATAATCTTGCCCATTTATCTACAAGATTCCCCATCAAAATGTATGAGAGAGGCATAAAGCAAGAATAATGTACAGTTTCTCAGCACGCCATGGGCATCGCCATTTTCTTGATAATGTGACGTACTATGTGAAGTTTTTTATCAAATAAATGAATTAAAATTTATAGATGATTTATTCCAAGGTGTGTGCGTTGATGAAGCATTGTATTCACCTGTTATTACATTAAATGTACTAAAATTTCCAGAACGCAAATTGCACTAATAAGTCGGTGAAGCTAACTATCTAGTCGACCGCTACCACAACTATTAAGCTGGGGTGAATGTTGTTACGATATACGATATCCGATATATCCGGTATCCGTCGTAGTTCAAGAAACATGGTCACCATCATCACAAACCTGACTGCCGACTCGTCTATTATCATGAGTATCTACTAAATCTAAGACCCTCGAACTCATCATGGTGGCAGCTGCTGGGATCTTCGAAATCAAGTTTGATTTTTGAAGACACAATTGATCCAGTTCACGACAGTTGGGAAGTATAATTAGCAAAATTATCGTCGATTAGCGATTTGTCACGTCGCACTTTTTCGTATGCATAGTACGTGCATCGTACATACCGCACAGTGTACCGAGACACTGATGCTACTGCGTAATCCCGATGAACTCGTACGTGAATGGTGATGTGTGTATGAGCATATAAAGGTTCATAAAGCCTGCTCAGAATAGCCTAATCAAGTTATAACTGTGCTCAATCACTGACACAGGGGTCTGCATAATGACTTAACTAGCAAAGTTTAAATCTAAAATTAAACTAAATCAGAGGTGTGAACATTAAACCTGTTTTCAGATAATATTAACAATAATATCTGGTGTGTGAGGAATTGTCACTGTCGGACATATTGAGTGAGAGTGATCAACATTTTCATTGCATGAGACACCTAATGACATTCACACAGGTGTGAGAGCGTACACAGGTTTACGTGTACGAACCTTATCAACACCAGCCGGTTAGGACCTGTTCACACTAAGATAAACAACACAAAGATTTACACTCATTCATATAATCTGTCGTAACCAATACGCACACGTGACATATACAATGAGTACTAAGTATCCAGAGATGAACTGGGAGGTACCAGACCTACCCGAAGAGTTCAAGCTATTCAAGCAGAGAATGGAGCTTGTGTTGGCAGATCAAGAAATAACAGAAAACAAAAAAAAAGGCTATAAAAATAAAAATCGCTGTAGGCAACGAAGGTTTGCGCCGCATCAATGCGTCTGGGCTATCAGAGGCCGACCAAGAAAAACCACAAGAGCTGTGGAAATTATTTGAGAAACAAATAAAGGTAAACATTAATTTTCGGGTCCATCGTCTCGAGCTGATGCGATATCGGCAGAGACAAGATGAGAGCATTGACGCATTCGTTACTCGATGTAGAGACAAAGCCAACACATGCGATTTTGAGGAATCCGAGCTTGCCGAGCGGATAATGGAGGTAGTCATCACCTCAACACCAAGTCTAGAATTCCAGAAATTCCTATTGGACCAGCCTAAAGGATATCTAATCGAAGCAATTCTAGTAGAGGGTCGAAAATACGAGGCAGTTGCGGCGAGCAGAAAATGCCTAGAAACGCTTGAGCCGGCTAAAGAAAGCATAGATTCGTTCAAGCGGAACCAGGGACGAAAGACGTGTGGAAACTGTGGACGTATCCACAAACCTCGTCAGTGCCCTGCGTACCACGATGTGTGTCGTGCCTGTGACACAAAGGGCCATTGGGCCAAGTTCTGTAGAAAGGCTAAGAACGATCGAAGTCGAAAACCAGATCGTAGATCAGATGACCATAAATCTGATGACCGTCAACCGAAACACGGTAACCAATCACGATCAAAATCAAAGGGTCGAAAGTATAAACCGATAAGTGAAATGGACACTGAACATGATACTAGCACAGATCATGAACATCAACAATCAGCAGGTCCATCAAACTTCGAACATTTTGACACCATACACACGATCGGAACACACACAGTGATCAACTCAAAGGGTACAGTAGCTTTTGCAAACATTGACATCATATGCCCACAGAAATCAGGTCAGCATTACCTATATCTGAAGATAGACTCTGGGGCAAGCGCTAATACTATCACAGTACGCACAGCCAAACAAATATATGGTGACAAGTGGAGGCAAGTAGTGAAACGTACACCAGTAAAGCTAGTAGCATATGGCGAAATATCAATACCATGCGTTGGTACACTAGACATAAAGTGTAGATACAAGAGTCCAGAATGGTATACACATACATTCTACGTAGCAGACGTGAATGGACCAGCTATCTTAGGGTTGTTAGGTTGCACAGATCTCGGGATTATCACAATCCACACAATGCACAAGGACACACCTACACATACACCTATCACAAGTGTTAGTGACCTCAAACAAACATACCCAGATCAGTTTGATGCCATAGGAAGCTTTAGCGGGAAAGCAATGCTGCATCTGAAAGATGATGCAGAGCCCACCATAGATGCACCTAGAAAGTGCAGTGTCCACCTGAAGGACAAGATCAAAGCCGAACTAGATAACATGGAGAAGCAAGGAGTCATCAGAAAGATAGAACACCACACAGATTGGTGTAGCTCGATGACCACCGTTGTGAAGAAAGATGGATCCATACGGATATGTCTTGACCCCAGAAGGTTGAACGATGCCTTGAAAAGGTGTCCACACAAAATTCCAACCTTGGAAGAAATCCAACCAATCTTCGCAGGAGCTCAATTCTTCTCCAAGCTAGACGCAAAGGCTGGATACTGGTCAGTACACCTAGCAGAGGAATGCCAAGACCTGACCACCTTCAGAACACCATTTGGAAGATATTGTTTCCAAAGATTACCCTTCGGCTTATGCACAAGCCAAGACATCTTCCAGCAACACATGGATAGGATCGTCCAGAATGTGCCTGGCTGCGTATGTATCGCAGACGACATTGCCATTGTCGGGAAAACAGAGGAGGAACACGACAAGAATCTCCACTTACTCATGGAGACAGCGAAACAGGAAGGACTCGTGTTCAACAGCTCCAAGTGTACTATCAAGAAGGAAGCTATCAGCTACTTTGGATCCATGTACACAAGATCTGGAATCTTCCCAGATCCAAGCAAGGTTGAAGCTATCAATACAATGCCTTCACCTAAGGACAAGGAAGATGTTCAGAGATGCCTAGGATTATTCACATACCTAGCACCATACATTCCTAATCTATCAGAGAAGTCAGCACCACTTCGTGAACTCCTTCACAAGGAAATTCCATTTGTCTGGGACGAGGATCACGAACATGCCTTAAACAGCCTGAAAAGCGCAGTCTCATCAGGTGCATGCCTGCAGTTCTTTGACCCAAAGAAAGAGACAACCGTTGAGGTAGATGCATCAATGAAAGGGCTGGGAGCATGCCTGCTCCAAGATGGCAAATCCGTAGCTTTTGCATCCAAAAGTCTCTCCAATGCACAGTCCAACTACTCGAACATAGAGAGGGAAACCTTAGCCCTAGTGTTTGGTATCGTCCGATTCCATACATACCTATTCGGGAAGGAATTCACTGTGATAACAGATCACAGGCCTTTGGAGACAATTTGGAAGAAACCTCTAAGAAGCGCACCACCTCGTCTACAGAGACTATTGATCAAGGTACAAGGATACAGATGCCAAGTCAAGTACCGACCTGGGAAAGAAATGATTCTTTCAGATACCTTGAGCCGTCTTCCTAACCCCAAGGAAGCACGCGATGTTCCACTAGACATCAGAGTGGAATCAATCTGCTCCGAAGTAGAAGACACTCATCAAATCGACTTGATCTTCTTCGGACAACACAAGAGAACAGAACTCCAGAGGGAAACATCCAATGACCCTGTTCTTAGGTCATTGTGGCAGACAGTCACTCAGGGTTGGCCTGAAACTCTTCAGGAGCTGCCGACATCCCTCAGGGAATTCTGGTCTTACAGAGATGAGATTGGAGTATCTCAAGGAGTACTCTTCAAAGGAAGCAGAGTCATCATACCGAAGACACTTCGAGAAGATATCCTCAGACAACTTCATCTTGGACACATGGGAATCGAGAGCACGAGACGACTAGCTCGTGAGACAGTGTTCTGGCCACATATCAACAAGGACATTGAACAGATCGTAAAGCAATGTGCTGCATGCCAGGAACACCAGGCAAGGCAACAGAAAGAGCCGTTGCTTCCCCATGATGTACCTTCAGCACCTTGGACTAGACTAGGAACAGATTTGTTCATGCTAAACAGACAAGACTATTTACTCGTCACTGACTATTACTCCAAGTATCCGATAGTCTACAAGCTGACTGACACATCAAGTGCTGCAGTAGCCAACGTGATGAGTGGAATCTTCAGTCTATTTGGTCCACCAGAGGAGATCGTATCCGACAACGGTCCACAATTTGTCGGGAAGCACTTCAAGGACATGTGCCGGAAGTGGTCGATCACCCATACAACCTCTTCACCTCACTATCCAAGATCCAACGGACTAGCTGAGAGAATGGTTCGTACCGTCAAGAATCTGTTGAAAAAGTGTTCACAGACTGGCCAAGACAGTCAACTGGCTATGTCACACCTAAGAGCAACACCCGTTGACAGTCACATGAGATCACCTGCAGAGATGTTGTTTGGAAGACCCATCAGAACAACACTGCCAAGTCATTATCTTTCAAGAGAATCTACCACCACTGATCATCTCTTGAATCGACAGAGTAAGATGAAAGAAACGCACGATCGACATGCGGGTCCAGATCTTCCACCACTCCACGTAGGACAACCAGTCAGAGTCCTACATCCCAAAGATCATACTTGGATACCAGCCAAAGTATCCAAAGTCTGCGACGAGCCTAGGTCGTATGAAGTATCAACACCTAACGGAGGAATCCTGAGACGAAACCGATCTCACCTGAGGGAGATTCCATCGTCAACCAACCCTACTCCAAAGCGTGTTAGGTTCGACGAAGACTACACTTCATCTACTCAAGCAGAAACACCACAACAGAATGGCAACAGCCATCAGCCAACACCAGAAACTCAGAACATTCAATCTAAAGGACCAACATCAAACTCGCAAACCACAACAAGATATGGACGCAACATCCGTACACCAGCGAGATACATGTTTGAAGATTGAAACTGAACTCTTAAATTTCTTCAAAGAAGAGAGAAGATAAAGAAGAACACAGAAGACGCTTAGTTTAATGTAGTCTAAGAAGTTTATTGTTCATATGTATGTATAATCATTGTACAGTATTTTTGGTATGACAAGCATAATGTTTATAAGTCTAAACAGATGCTAGCCCAAACATGTTTCGTTTGGAAATTCATTTTATAAAGGAATCAAGTTATATCAAAACTATGTTCAATCTTGCAGATCAACTGTGAAGTTGAAAGTGGAACGATATAATTATTTATACAGTCAATACTCATTCGTTAATACGATACAAAAGAAACGTATTGAAAACAAATCAAGATTTTATGTTATATAACCTGATTGGAAAAAGTTCATTAGGAAGCAAATAACCAAAACTTGCATACTACCAAAAGTATTGTTATCAAAGCAATATGTCATTAATCATCGATCAGTGATGCTCACTGATTCCCAATCTTTCCAGAGGAAGGGGGATGTTACGATATACGATATCCGATATATCCGGTATCCGTCGTAGTTCAAGAAACATGGTCACCATCATCACAAACCTGACTGCCGACTCGTCTATTATCATGAGTATCTACTAAATCTAAGACCCTCGAACTCATCAAATGTTTCTCATTTATGAAATATATTTGACAACTGCTATAGTATACTAAAGTATCGTTTCCCTGTTATATCCTTTTAACCAATTATAATTTCTATATTCTCAGCTATGATTTTTCATCATTGAAAAGTAAACGTTTTGTTACTGATTAAAAAAAAGTCTTTCCAACTAACGCTTGGTGCACAATACATGTATAACTTCAACTGGTACGTCACATGTTCAAGAAAATGACTGCACCCATGCCATGCTAAAAGGCATCACATCGTCATCTATATATCTCTTGTTCATTTCCGTAGGGAATATTGTACATCAACGGGCAGGAATTATATCTCATTTTTCAGAATACCTACACGTATTCTACGGGGTGAGGTTTCCTTTTAAGACAATTATTGTTTACATGGTAGGAACAGATATCTATTTTTAGAGAAAGTTGAAATGTCTCTAAACCAAAATGATTTGATTACAATATCAAAAATTCCCATCAAAGTATAAACAAGCTGTTTTGTAAAACAGAATAGGCCTAAACGGATTTCAATAACAATAAAGACTATGTAGTTTCATCCATCGCTTAGATATAAACATAACGGGAAGTTTAAAACAAAAATCTGTATCTGGATATAGTATGTGGACCCTAAATGTACCCGAATTGTTTGCGTTTGTTCAGTGGTAATAATGCACGCATCCATATGAATCACATGGGATTGCAATTGCATGAACGTATTTAGTTAGTGGCCTATGAACTACTTCGAAAAGGGAATGCCTTCTATTTGAACCAGGAACATCGATGTGACAAATATCTGTTCACAGTTAGCGGTTATGTAGGGTAAAGTACGAGTTACTCTATTGTCTGAATTTCAATGACATGGGTGGTTTGAGATTAAAGCGACGGATGAACACCAAATATTAATTGTGTCCATGCAGTTCACATTGGCACTGACACTACCCTCATAGAGAGAGAGAGAGAGAGAGAGAGAGAGAGAGAGAAAGAGAAAAGGAGAGAGAGAGATAGAGAGAGAGACAGAAAGAAAGAGAAAAGAGAGAGAGAGAAAGACACACACACAGAGACGCGTATGTGTGTCTTTATCGTGTGTGTGTACGTGTGCGTGTGTGTGTGTGTGTGTGTCTGCGTGTGTGTACATGTATATACTGTATAATTCAACAGTAATTGTAATAATTTCATGATCTTATTTTTCATGAACTCTACTGGAAAAACAAATACTACATTATTTACCCGTTAGTAGTCCAGAGGTACGCGATGCTGGTTTTTTTTTGGTAGGTTCGGTCACAGTATCTATATAACAATCATAATAATAATACTAATAATACTAATAGTAATACCTTATTTATAGATTGCAATTTCCACGTATGTTCATATGCGTTTTACAATTAAGTTATTAACAGGAAAGGTGAGTTTTTGTTATTTTCTTTAGGTATTGAGAGATCGGTGGTTGCGAGGAAAAGAAATATAGTGTTGAATTAATACAAATGGAAACACGTTTCAGCATTGGAGTTATGCAAAATTAGGGAGCATTTAAAAGAAATTAACCAATTGCAATTTTAAATTGAGGCCCGAAGATGTACAGATAATTACATTTGGTAATGCCCATGTATCATTCTTATCATCATCATCATCGTCATCATTATTGTTATCATTAGACGTAGTATTTTTATAATCATTATTATTTAATTATCGGTATTGGTAACAACATATGTATGTTTTGGTTGGGTATCTACAATCCAACTTTTTCAAGGTCTATGTTTAAATCATACACTATAGAGACACACCATCATGAAAGTACATTGCATAAAAATACCAAATCAGACATTCTAATCATGATAATAATACCTATTATTATCCATATGGGTGTGTACGCAGAATTATGCTTGGGGGCGGAGGGGATCGAATGCTGACGTACCCTACCAAAATATTACGTGTAACATTTCTAAGAGAGAGCAACAATGTTGAATGTAAGTTGGTCCTTAAATGATTTACTAGATACAATGATAGAAGGCAAACAGTTCACTTTTAAAATGGGATTTCTTTTCTCCGAATATTGACTGTTTCATAATTTTGAGGGGACTGCTCTCAGCACTCCCATCTCCACATAAATAATAAAACGGAGTTGTTCGCGACCTTATTTTTCTTTTTCTTGGGTGTAAGAAAATTCGACGTGAAATTGGATGGCAGCCCTGCGCTCAGTCGATGGGTTTAGCAATACGTTATTCAGCAAAGTGATACGTTCGAATATTTTACGTCTATTTAGAGCCAGAAGGGCGTCAATCATGGGTTAAAGAATATTAATTGACGCCCTCCTGGCTCAAAACTTTCAATTTATTTAGATAGAACTTAGAAGTACTCTGTACTAACCAGCGCCGTCCTCCGGAAAACATTCTTCGAGTATGTCATTCCGTTTTATCTTTACCAAGGCATCTATCAAGGTCTGTCTCATTGTTGATGAATTTTGTCTTTGCATCCAGTCTCTCAGCAACTCCAACGACCCCATATGTGAATGATCTTGGCTGTTCCTTTTCTGAGCACTTTGAATATCATACGAAGGAATTTTTAGTGCCTTTCCGAGATCATCTATTTCTACATCTTGCTTTGTTCTTCTGGCAACTGCTTTCAAAATATCATCGAAATCTTGCCTGTTTACACCCGCCATTCTAGATGCATATATATAAAAAAGAACAGGGGGAAATACTTAAGACTTCCACTGAGGTTAGTTTAAAAAATTGAACGAATAAATGAAATTAACTTGTTAAACCGTTAACCCTACACTGTTGACGAAAAAAAGTACCCATAGCAGATTTCGTTTTAATCAATTTCGGGTCAATTATAAAAAAAACTCATTGAAAAAAAAAATACCATAACTTTCTTGATTTGTCTTCATCCTATGCAGATATTTACTTTGCATGCAGGCAATGCCATTTTATTGTCAAAAAATAATTATTGAGAGCAACGACAACCTAAACTTGTTGGATGTGAAAAGTAAGTTTCAATATAAAAATGAGCACTGGTCATGTGATCATATTGATGCGAAACCATTATGCAATTAATTGGGAAAGAAAGATTATGTTGAACATGAGAATCGGTGAGTACTATGAATTCTTAAATGGTCAAATTGAGAGGAAAATGATTCATTCTTGCCGAAGATCACATGCGCAGTCTACATAGAGAATAAAGCATGTGAGACTACACACAATATTAGTTATATGAGATTACACGCAGAATTATGTATGTGGGATTACACACATAATTAGGCACGTAAGACTACACACAGAAGTAGATATGTAGAGGTGTCGTGGTCGAGTGGATATGTCACCGGACTGTGGATCACAAGGTCCGCGGTTCAAGTCCCGCCGCGGCACTAATGTCCTTTGGCAAGACATTGATCTACATTTGCCACTCTCCACCCAGGTGTTAAAATGGATACCCGGTAGGATGCGAAAGTTAATGTGGTTGGATTAGCAAATGGCGCTTGTAAAATGGCGACTGGCTGGAATACTCCCCAGGGAGTGGAAAATGTGCATACATTGTGTTGCGGGTAAGCCTGAATCCGATGACCGGGGTAATAATATGTTCCGCGCCTAGAAACAAAGTATTAGGCGCATTATAAATGTGAGCTATTATTATTACTATTATATGTGACAATACAGACAATTTCGACAATTGATCCAAACGTTGGAGCTATTTCCATTCATATTTCGAATATGAGGGCACTTCTATATAGTTTTTTCGGGCATTGGTCCTACTACGATATTCTTCTAAAGTGACATACAAACAATGAGAAAACTCACAATTTATTTTCCATCTTCAGTATAACTCAACCTGTTCTATTTCTGACCTTCGAGACAATGCACTTGAGTACACCTCGAAATGTTGATCCTATGGCGACGAATCTCCGAACGTTGCAGATGTGTGACTCAGAGATACACTGTACTGCCCTTGTATCAGTGAGTGTGTAGACTTATATATGTGTTTTATCGAAATATAAATATACAGGGTAATAATTGTGCATGAACAATCATGGTAATGAAAGAGAACTAGTTTTCAAGGTAGATGAGATTCATGAACAGTACTTTGATACTAGGCATTGAGCCGCAACGGCAATCTTTCATCAAAGCCAGGGTCAGTAATTTTCTATGTGTATGTTTTGTGTAAGTTTTAGCTTGATTGTCTTGATAGAACTATTATATTTCACTTCCTTTCATACGCTATTTAGCTCAAATCTGCTTAAAATAGTATTTCTGCTTATTGTACAGCGTTCATACCCAATTTGTATAGTCCTTCAACAAGGCGCGCCAACACAAGCTCAGTCCAGAATCACCTATACACATAGGTTGGCCAACATAGTTTCATGTGGTCACAAAATGGGTATTTTGTTATTTTGTGCTTGCTCAACAGAGCAGTGAACGTCATATTGTGCCCAGCTCAAATAAGGTTAGCAAAACTTTCCTAATCAATGGCTCTTGCCATAAAAAGGAGCTTCGGGAAATAATGCGAAAGGTATATTTATTGCAATACTCTTTGGATTATCTAAAGAAATAATTTTCGATGACTGCAATATTTCATGCAAAATGTTACTTGAATCTTCCTATCTTCTTTACCCTGTTATATAAATATTCATAGCAATGGCAAAACGTATTGCAGAATAAATTTAAACACAAACAATTGCATAGGGAATACTTTTGTACAGTTTAGGCATATTACTAGTCAGTTGCTTTCCTCGCCTCTCTCCAAAGTCACTCGTTTTCTAAGAGAAGAATTGTGCAGAGAATACAGGACACCAACAAATGATGTAAGGCAACATTACTTTGTTCAACGTAATGTTTTTACAAAATTACCCGTTTCTGGTGTTGGTAAGCACCATCACAACAATTTAGCACAAAACACAAGTCATCAAAACTTGATGTGAGGGTAAATTGCTTAACTCAAGGCAATATCTTTATATATTACCAGTTTCATGCATGGGTTAGATTACATACAGAATTAGGCACGTGAGATAACACATGGAGTTATATATGTAAGACTACAAACACATCCGACATTGGTTCGAGCTAGTTCTTGTCAAATTTCGAATATGAGCACACTTCTATTGGTTTCAGGGGAAAGTTCATGTACGATTTTCTTCAAGTGACTTACATTCAAGACAATGCATTTACTTATACCTTGAAATGTTGATCCTATGGCGACGAACGTCGCAGATGTGTGCCTTAGAGATACACAGTAATTTTATCAGTGAGTGTGAAGACTTGAATATGTTTTTTTTTTAAATACAGCTATACACACAGTATGAATTTTGCATTGACAATCAGGATAATAGAAGATTACTAGTTTCCACGGTAGATGTGATTCATGAATAGTACTTTGATGCTAGGCATTCGACCGTAACATTAATCCAGGGTCAGGAATTTCGTTTTGTCTGAGAATTTGTAAGTTTTAGCTTCCTTCTCTTGATAAAACTATTATATTCCACTTCTTTTCATACGCTATTTAGAAGAAATATGCTTTAAATAGTTTTCATGTCATTGTTCAGCGGACATTCCCAATATGTATTACCCCAGAACACTGCTAAAGGCGTGCCAACACAGCTCAATGCAGAGATTTTGGCCTTCTCAGTTTGGCCAGAAAGTAGAGCTTGAAGTCTCCGTAGTCAATGTCATCCAGACCCAGATTCATAAAAATTATCTGGGCCCTTGACAACCTTGTTCTCTTCATTGTTCATCTTGGAGGAAATGTTCCCATTTAACAGCATTCTATTCTTTAATGTTGTGCTTTCCCAACAAAGCAGGGGTTGTCATATTGTGCCTACAGGATAGCAAAACTTTCCTAATCAATGGCTCTAGTTATTTTAAGGAGATCGATGAAATAATCCAAAAGGTACTTGTTACTGCGATACCCTTTGAATTATTTGTATGAATAATTTTGGATTAATCAAGTACATTATCTCATGCACGGTGCTACTTAAATTTTCCTTCTGTTGTATTCTTCGCCATCTTCTTTACCCTGTTAATTACGGATTCATATCATTAGCAAAATGAACTGCACAGGTATTTGGAACACAAAGAAAGGAAAAGTGAATCCTCTTGTAAAGTTTGGGCTTTCTGCTGGTCTGTTGCTTTCTCTGCCTCTCGGCACTGTCGTTCATTTGCCAAAAGAACAATTTTGCACAAAACACAGAGGACAAACAATTGATGTGAGGGTAAATTGCTTTATTCAACGCAATGTCTAAACAGATTACCCGTTTCTGATCTTGGTTAGCTCCATTACAAGCCTTTTAACACAGAAAATTTCAATACAATAAACAAGCCCCCATCAATGGATGTAAGGGTAAATTGCTTTCTGCATGGCATTTTATTATAATTATCAGTTTCTGATCCCAGTTAGCCTCACTACATTCCTTTTTTAACACAGTAAATTTAAACAAAACACGAGGCACCAATAATTGATGTGATAGTAAATTCTATTTTTAAACGCAATATCTTTACCCTGTTATATACATATTCCTACCAATGGCAAAACGTATTGCACAACAAATTTAAACACAAACAATGCATAGGGAGTAATTTTGTACAGTTTAGGCATATTGCTGGTCAGTTGCTTTCCTCGCCTCTCTCCAAGATCACTCGTTTGCTAAGAGAAGAATTATGCAGAGAACACAGGACACCAATACTTGATGTAAGGGAACATTACTTTGTTCAACGTAATATATTTACAAATTACCAGTGTCTTGTGTGGGTTGGCCCCATTACAACCCTCTTAACACAGAACATAGGCACAACACTCAAGACACCAATAATTGATGTGAGGATAAATCGGTTTGGTGTTATTATAAAGATTGCGTAGGATATGACAATCGGTATGTACTACGTGTTCCTGAATGATCAAATTGAGAGGAAATTTTCTCATTCTTGTATTTTTTTGTTATTGAAAATAAAACTCAACGACATCGCATACAGTAATAACATATCAATAAAGTAAATGGATGTATACAGAACACGGTACAACACAGGACAATACAACACAAAACAGCACAACACAAATGCCTCATTCTAGCCAGTTACATTTGTGCCTATCTAAAGCTTACCCTGACATGCTTAAAGGTTGTATATTATGTAAGAAAACCGAGACTGAACTCGTCAAGGAGAGGCTTCACTGAAATAAAGTAATATTAACAATATAATAACATAATTGACAATAAGGAAGTAAAAGAATTATTAAATACCAGGGGACCAAAATTCTACAAGAAAGAAAGTGACCATTTCCTAAAGTGGGAAATCGGTTTACCTTTCTTCTCTGCTATTTTATATTCAATTTTCTGTTTCATTTTTACAAAAGAAAGGAAGCCTTAAAATTTAATTCTACCTCTTGAAATTTACCTCGAATAATATAAAATTTGAGGAACAGGAATAATAAAAAAAAAATAATACAAACATCATGCCTGCCACCGATATCAATACCAAATATATGAGCGAACAGAGTAAATCGTTGTCTCCTTCGTCATATTATCAATATAATCTGCAAGCTTTGTCCACATTGAAGCAACTACTGTGCATTTACAAAATATATGAATCAAGGTTTCAGGAAGCTCCTGACAGAAGTAATACAAAGGACTATCCCTGCATTTGAAATTATTTTTGTGTATAACAGACCATTCAATTTCATCTCTATCCAAACCAAGCCACTCTTCCCACTTATTACCAATCTTGGCCTGGAATGATTTATCTTTGTTACGTAGTTCCGAATAAGCATAGCTATAGGCACTTTCAACTTCCTTAGTAACTCAAGAACGATCTTATCAAAAATATTCTCATGAACATCTTGATGATCAATAAACCAATATAAATATAACGCATTCATCAGGGAATCATACTTGCGTTGGTCAGTTATTGGGATATCAAATTCTACAACCAAGTCTTCAAAAGTTTTCATAATACTACAACCCCGATTACAACAATAATTAGGTATGTGAGAATACATACAGAATTATATGTTAGAGAATACACTAATGACTTGTGTATGGCAGATAACATACATAATGATGTATGAGAGATTACACTCACGATTACATATGAGAGATTATATACATAATTAGGTATAAGAGATGTCATTCATAATTAGGTATGTGAGATTACATACATAATAATTAGGAATATGAGATTACATACATAATAATTAGGAATATGAGATTACATACATAATAATTAGGAATATGAGATTACATACATAATAATTAGGAATATGAGATTACATACAGAATTAGGCATGTGAGACTACATACACAATTATGTATGTGAAACAACACACACATTCGACATCGGTCCAAACGGTTGAGCTAGTTCTTGTCAAATTTCGAATATAAGTGCACTTTACTAGCTTTTCAGGTACCAGCCATCTTTATCAAAACTCGATCTTCTCCTTAATAAGAAGTACTGTTATATTTCTTACCTTCAAGACAATGTACTTAATCACACCTCGAAATGTTGATCCTATGGCGACGAATTTCCGACCGTTGCAGATTTGTGACTCAGAGATACACTAGTGTCCTCTTATCAGTGAGTGTGTATACTTGAATGTGTGTTTTATTGAAATGCAAATACACAGGGTAATAATTGTGCATTAGCAATCATGATAACGAAAGAGAACTAGTTTTCGCGGTAGATAATATTCGTGAACCGTACGTACTTTCTCAGACTATCACACCAGTAAAGTCGATGTCCTGTGATAAAGATACGAAAGCAAAACGTGGGCCTGTAAAAGTAAGATTAATGGTAATAATGATAGAAGCAATGAATAGTCAAACGTTTGTCAGTGACCACCTGGCTCAAGCCTCAAAAATCATTTATCTGCCGCGGCTGTTTTCTTTTCCCCTCTTAATATTTCATTTCCCCCCATTTCTTGGTGTTCAATTGTGTATTAGCTTGTTCGTTTTTGTACTGGTTTGAACTATTTACGTTTTTATCAAGATGAAGAAACGTAGCCTCTTTGACCACAGCTACACTTCTGATCTGGACATCTCTGTCAGCTAAATCATTCACTGAATTTGCTCAGGGCCTCCTGTATATATCATTCTGTAAATAGAACAGTTCTTATACAAGAGTATGATACTTTAAACTTATCTCTTGAGCCTCGTTTGTTTACTGGATTTCTGGTGTCCAGATACTGGTATATTTCATATAGCCTTGAAGAAAAGTAAAAGAGAAACCCAGAACCTGAAAATTAAACAATTTTGGTGTAAATCTGGATTTCTGCTGTCCGGATTGAAATTTGTTATATTACATTGTTTGCGGGCAAGCCTGAATTCGATGACCAGAGTGATAATACATGGATGAACCACTATTTGTGCCCAGACTATCATTATAATTATTCACATGTTTTGGTGTTATTTTTGTCGGTTCACTTCTTATGACAAAAAATATACGATCCAAACAATTCTCTTCAACCAAAAGTGAATGTATGTAGACATAAACTGAAATGATAGAACGATTAAGCAGTGTGAGGTACCACAAACGCATTCTCTTTCTGCTAATCCACGTAATGTCAGTCACATTTGTAAAGCAGTTAATACTACGTTTCTCAATGGTTTAAATTGTTATTATTGTTATCCAGGTCATTGGATTCGATTAATAATTTACAAATGTCTACGGTTGTAATTTGTGTTATTATGTTTCTATACCAAAGCCTACATGTATACCATTTTGAACTCATTCCTATTGTGTGTTGTTTTTATTCCTGGTTTAGTATTTTGTATAAATTGACAGTACATATATGTTAATTGATGTTATATATATTGAAGAAACAGCTGGAAAACGATTTGTATGCCTTGTAACTGTGCATGATCAATAAACTTGAACTTGAATGATAGTGTACACGCTCTGTTCCCGAAAAATATTCCAGCCAAGTGCCATTTTCAAACATAGACACGCCAATACAACCATATTGCACTGATTATTAGTAGCCGAAGCCATGGGAGACGGGATAAGGCTTTCCAAGCATATTGAAGGTGTTGTACTTTCGGTTCGATTTTCACTATACAATTAAAATGGAGTGTCAATATGCATGTGAACGGAACCCTAATGGAAAGCGCGTTTTATATCATAAAGTAACCGAGAAAAGATATGATTATTACTTTATTGGCATTGAAAAGGAGCAGAAAATGTGGCATTTGCGATTTTATGGTTAAAACTAGAAACAAACTCTGGCCACTGAAGAGGAGTAAACGGTTCATACAAGATTCTTTTTTTTTTTATTTTTTTTTATTGAATATGAAGAATTCGTTGCTCCATTTCCTCCACTTGGTTGGTTATTTTGGCCTATGCTACAGTAAGACACTTCGTTTTCAAAGATTTGATAATGAGAAATCTGGAGCTGTATGCTAATTAAAACAGAAATGTGTTAAAACAACAACTATAACAATAACTGCAATTTCATTAGCAACAGTAACAAGGATGCTATGATGTATTCGATTTACAGAGTGAGTCAGAAAAAAATGTCCCATTTTTAAATTTTTAAATATTATATTTAGGAGGTTTTAAATGTTTTACTTTTTTAATTAAGCGAGCTATTTTCATTTGATTAAAAAGTGAACCTTATCTGGAATACTAGTTACTGCATTTTCTATAATTATTGAATCGAGTCCGCTTCTGAACAAACATAATAGCTAGCCATCTGCACAACGGCGGCATGCATGGCGGGGAAATACTTCTTTGTGATGCCATGGTCTCCGTATGCCGAAAGCATCCAATAAATCGTTAAGAGGAAGGACCCCTGCTAATTACTAGCCACGTACAATGTACAGTGTGTCCCAGAAAAAAACAAAACCGAGAGTTATCGATGGTTTATCATAACTTAATCACAATTATGATTAATAAATGACACATATTTGTGAAGCTTTGATCCTCCTCTTTTATTTAAAGCAACTGATATGATGCATTTTCAGGCATGTGTGATAAAAACAATTTGTTAAAAGGGTACCAAAAAGACATTTGGCGAACGGTATCTGAATTTCAAAGGGAAAGTCACATTTCTAGAAAGTTCATTGTTTGCCCTTTCATATGACATCTCAACCGGGAAAAATGAGCCAGGAATAACAAAAATCTAAATGTTTAAAGAAATGCTTGCATATCCCTTATTTTAGTAAACGAAATCGTTTTCACTAGCTGCCTGCAGTACCGTTTCAGACAAAAAAAAAATGTTTACACCTAGGAAATTCCTAATTATTAAAAAAAAAAAAATCATCTTTAAAGAGTAAATTATCATACATCTTATGAAAGAGTGTTTTATCCCAAATCGTTTGGTATCATTTTTGTGACAGTGTTCACGCTTGGATGAACAGAAGGCATTGTCTGCGAGAGTGCAAAAATCGACTTGCGCCAAAGTGATGCCTCATTACAGTATGTATTATGTTGGGATTGGCGGAGTGAGAAAATGAATTAAATGTACCAAATGAGATGCATTGCATTCGCTTTTTGCGGAAGCAAAGTCACACGCACACGCATGGGGGTTGGCTCAAACTATAGTCACAACTCAGAGTGGCGACCGACCGATTTTAGCCTGCTCAGTAGCCGCTGGGCGTAGCATCTGCGGGTGCCTCGTAGACCAAAATACGCTCGATGCCCGGGCGGTCGCCGCCCAGGCACCGACCTACTCGAGCGTTTACCGTCGAGCGATTTAGGTCAAAAATCGAAGCCGCTAGGTCAAATGCCGCAGATTTTGTACTCGCCGTCCAGTGACCGACTGATCTCCCAGCGGGGACCGCTCGGCAGCCTTTGACCCAGCGGCTTCGATTTTTGACCTAAATCGCTCGACGGCGAACGCTCAATTAGGTCGGCGACCGCCCGGGCACCGAGCGTATTTTGGGTGGCGAGTGAAAAGTGAGCAGGCGCCGCCCGAATTCTTTAGGATGTCTTTAAAGCTATGTTCACAACTGAAAGCGGCGACCGACCGATTTCTAGCCTACTTGGTCTCCGGTGGGATTTAAGCATCGCCCAACGAATTTTGGAGAAGTTGAGCAGGCTGTAGAGCCCGAATTATGACTGAGCGGTGCCCTAGCTGTCGATATTCCGTCGGTCGCAGGTCGATTTTAGGTCAAAACTGGGCGAAATCGGGTAACTTCTCCGGGCGGCGTCCCGGCAGTGACCGACTAATGACCCACCGATTCCCAGGAGGTCTCCCAACGGCCACCGGCTGATTTTAAAGAAATTGCTCGGCGGCCGGCTGGTGATATTCGTGTGTCTCGTAGGCGTACATGCGGCGGCCCGCCGGGCCGTGAATTTCTCACGGGCGAACTGGGAATATATATGCCTATGTCTGCTTCTTGTTATCCTGATTTAAATGTATTTCAATACAAAATCAAATTAAATCAAATAAATATGTGAGGCTTCCTCAGGCTGGTCATCAACAACAACGCTTTTGCCTCTCAACAAGGTCTACGCCGTTGATTCCACCACAACGACTACGACAGCTAGCTGGCACTGCACGGACGCCGACCAATTTTAATTTTAACTCCGCGCTAAAACTTCAGCGGCGACCGAGCGATGCCCTAAATACAAGCAGTGCCCGGGCGGCCGCCACTTGGTGACCGGGCAAAATTGGCCAAAACTCGCCGCCCGGTCGTCGAGCAGGCTACTTTTTGGGGTTTGTGACCATAGCGTAAGATGTGCACCTTGCTTGTATAATTACTTTCTTTTGTGTACCCGGTATTGCTTCTGTAACAAGAAATACTTTAGCATTAACCAGCGCAGCTGAATATATTTTGTATAAAAGCTGCGCTATATAAATGTATTATTATTATTATTTCGAGGCACACTTATGAGATCACTTCAGCTCATAGCCAGGATTTTAGTATGATAAATTGTATTTCATTATAACCAAATTCTATTTAGATAACTGATTTTTGATAGGGTTTTCATTAAAATTTCCATTCGGAATTTAAAGGGAGTCTAAATTACAAATTCATCTTGACTTATGTTGATCTGTAATAATGTATACATCACATATCTTTTGACTTTTTATGTACACTTATGTCATATATTTTATATATAATTTGTCTATTACGTTTTTTCTACCTGCAAAGCTTCACCCCATACAAAAACCCTCCAAAAGCAAATGCTAAAGCACTTTTGTGAAATCATCATGCCAGACATTCATCAGTCAGCTAGATGTAGATGAATAAGAGTCATTAGTTTGTCCCTTCCCATCAACTGACTGAAGTTTGAATCTTACATCACTGGGCGATATCAACCATTGATCATCGATGGCTCACGTTCCTACTCTGCTTAGGTTGGGGTGCCACAAGGGTCCGTCGTCGGGCCTGTACTGTTCACATGTTATACGAGACCCTTAGAGGACATCATTCATTCCCAGGGTTTCTCCTCGATGTTATATGCCGACGACACCCAACTATATTTTACTATTAAGTCTGGACAATTTGTTCAAATATTACAGAAACTGGATGACTGTCCTCGTATTATTCGTTCCTGGTTGACTGAAAACGTTCTGCTCTTGAACGGCAACAAGATGGAAGTGCTACATCTGTTCTCCCTTCGAAGAAATACCACAGAACTGCATCCGATTCAAATTACAAATCGTTTTATAATTTCATTCAAAACCGTTGTTAACTCTGAGAAAAATTGGTAAAATTCGTAAATTCCTCTCCAAGTCATCCA